TTTATAAAAAACATATGTCATGAACTACTGAAAAATTTAAGAGCAGCTAGTTTTGGAAGATTAGCGAGAAGTTAATGGTTACACACCAATAGTAAGCACTGCTCAAAGGGAAGAATGTTTGGCTAGATTGTGAGGGGGATCTCATCTAGCTGAGAGTAAAAGGGAGGCATCTATCTAGCTTATACTTTTGTTTGATACCAAGTGTTCCTGTCTGTATGTATTTATTTTCTGTTTACATATATATAATGCTATATATGTGCTTATATAAAAATAAATAAACAAACACAAATGAATGGTTGAATGACTGCAGCATTTCTGCCTCCACTGGAGGACACTACTGCCCAATCCTCAACCACTCACCTTTTTTCAATTTCCAACTGCCAAAGCACATATCTTTGAATTGTGATCCAGATAGGAAGAAGAGAGTGGACTGTTGTTACTGTAAGGGTAGAAACCACTTCCAGTTACAGAAAAGCAAATTTGTAATTACTTCTAAAAATTAGTATCACTTAAACCATATGAATAGTGCTTCTCAGCAAAAGCAAAATATGTACTTGCCTCCAGTGTACTTGCAGATCAAGTTACCTGCCAGTGGATACAGTTCACCAAGAACTCCAGTTGTTTCAGACTTGTATTTGAACTCTTTCTGCACGATTAATTTGCATCTTAGACAGACTTCCTGAAATTGCCTTCACTTCTAATTAAATATCAGCCAGAGTTCAAATGGCTGCATCCACAACCTAATTTATTAACATATAGAATGCATTTATCCCTAGGTAAACTAATAAAGGAAATAAAATCTGGTATTTGGTTAATGTGGAGAATGATAATATATTGAGGTACATTCTCTGAAATGATGGACTAGTTTCCTCTCTATCCACTAAGGGAAAAACACATGATTGAAATGAATATACATCATACCCCATCATTTAGTAAGTACTCAATCATGAGACCCCAAAGATCTATAAATGATGTCCTGTATCCCTCTTCTTTCCGCTGACAAAGCTGCTTGTTGTAGTACTTCATGCGATCCATAGAGAAACAGCCCATCTTGCATTTAGTTGCTTGTTTCTGGGCTTCACCAATATGTGAGTCCAGGTCCTTCTGTGACCAGTAGGCATCTCTGTATAAGTTGGCCATGGTCCTGGAGAAAGATAATACAGACAGCAAAAGTCAAAAGGAACAGAGGTTTACATTCAGGGATTCGCTCCTGCTTGTACATACTCTGTTTTTGCTGCTCCATCTAGCAGAATGAACACTCTAGAGTTTCTGTGACTGTTTTTAAAGATGGCCCTGAAGAATAAGGTGTGGTTTTTTATATTCTTGGCCTGTTTTTTAAGTAGAACTGGCAGAAGCCACCAGCTGCTGTCTCTTGGCTTTGATTCACTTAGTGTTAATCTTATGATACCTTATGATATCACTATCCTTTATAAACACTATCCTCTATTTTACCAGCCTCCTTTGCATGAGATAATCACATATTAGGCAGCTGTAGGTCCTATGAGCAGGGAATAACACTGCCCAGGAGAATCTAGTCCTTTTACAAACTGGCAGGTTGCACTGATAAGTGTGCACTATCCTGCAGTTTTTTCCACATGACTAGCTAGAAGTCAGGACAAGTCTCAGAAGTTAATGGGAACCATAACAGCTGGGACATCAGTGGAGAAATGAAGAGGCATGATGCTATGGTCATCCACAGTTACACCCACAGTAACTACTTAATTAGAAAACACTTTTACAAGTGTAGTTGTCATATGCGCATTTAACTGCTGCAAACATGGAGTTGATAAGTGCAGTAAAGAACTCTTTATAAAAACAAGAGTTCATCAAATCAAGGTAATATTTAATGGCCTGTTACTGAGAAACAGCTTGTTTCTATGACGTTTGAAGAAAATCTGATCTTGTCCACTTTTAGAAGCTACTGTCTGCAGCAGTGACACCCTCAAACGGCCTGGTCAAGCCTCCTGCTTGAGCTGGCTTACCATGTGGTGCCGGACAGCCCACTGATATATGTTATACAGTCCAAGAGATTTAATTTCTTGAGTCCCATGAGGCTGCCATACAATCCTGTCATTGACTTCAGTCCTCCACCTGTCGTGATGATAGCCACAACGGGGACCTGTTGGGCAGAGGGAGGATGGGACATTCACACTAACAGCATTCAACATTGCATCCCAAACTACACTGAGGCCTGGTCACCACACTCCACCCAGGTCCTGATCACAGAGCCAAGATGCATTTTCAAAGGATGGACTCCAAAACCAAGCAATGACTGCTACTGCTGCTTCCCTTTGGATAAACATGGGTTTGGAGATTAACCCAAATCTGGGTTCTTGCCCATCTCTAGGGCAAACAGGGGCACAGATTATTAAGAAGAAACCCTTCTGTAGAAGGAACAATTTTCTCTACATCTCCCACTCCTTCACCACTTTTTTTCTTATTTCACACATTGACTACTACTGTATGAAAATCTCCATTCCAATCCCGTGAAGAAATGCACTCTGTTCACAGCCACTGTTGTTAAGTTACCCTCTTCAATGCCGTTATTCTTCAGTATCATGAAGTTACTCTAAAATAAATTATATTTATTTTAAGGAATTTCAAAACTGCAAGATATAAGAAGCGCTCAGAGATGTTTGCCCTAAACTCCTACAAACTGGTGAAATTTGAACAAGGGAAGAAATCTTTGCTGTGTAATATATTCAGCCTTTCTGAACCAAGCCAGTAATAGCATAGCATGGCAGGAACGAACACACCTGAAATATGACAAATTCCAAATTGACGGTAATGAAGGATGAAATTACTGCAACTAGTGATTCTTGCAATAACAAACCTCAGCAGCACAAGCAAATGTACTTAAGACATACAGACAACCTGGTACCTGCATAACAGATGCATGTGGCCCATTTTGCTGATCACTCATTCAGAAGCGTACATGAAGGCACTAGGGATTCAAGTTCTACCCCCTCAACACAAACGTACCTCTTGATCCTGCAGTTCCTGTGGTAGGTGAAACACAGTTTTGAGGGCACTTGCTACATATCTCTTTCTTTTCCTCAGGAAAACCCTCTCTTCTGAACACAAGTCAAACCCAAAGCGCATGTCCAGGTCTTGGTGGCATGAACACTTACTAAAATAAAACCAGACATAAATATTAAGTATTAACACACTCACATCAATCTTAGGACTTTCACTAAAGATAGACTACATCACCCTTCTCTTCAAACAGGGTGATGCAACTTGACAGGAGCAAGAGAGAATATTCTCAATTTTTTTTTAAATTAAGAAACTCATATCAATTAGTAAGCCTAACTAGTGACATTATACTCCGTTATTACTAAATGATGAAGAAACAATGTACAATACTTACGAATACAACAAAATATTACAATAAATATTCTAAAACTAAAACAGTGACAAGTTTAGAAAATCTATTCCAGTGGTCAAAAGGGATTGTATTGATTCCCATTTTACATGTTATTTTCTCATTTTAAATCTAAAATAAATCCCAGTTTTCAAATGTTGGCATTTCCAACGCGAAGGAAAATTCTCCTTTTAAATAACCGTAGTGGGAACACTTCCCCCTCTAGCGGTGAGCATCGCTAGGAACAGTGGCTGCGGAACTTGGCTTGCTGAAGGAACCTCGGTGACATCCAGCCCCCGGATGAGTGTAGGGGGTCACTGAGTTTAGTGGGGCAGCACTTCACCCTCGATACTCTGTTGTGTCCGCACTTGCACAAACTGTGTCACAGGTCAGTGCTGGAAGTTCTATTTCACATCAACCTTGACTCAAGGCACAATATTTCTCAGAGGAGATTTCATTGGTGTCTCTTCTGAAATTTAGTTAGTCATTTCTCAAGACCCCACTGTTGCAGTTTATTTTCTTGGGCATTTGTGCTCTTCCTCTCCTGCACCTACAAGCCATCAACGGGCAAGATACAGGGTTATGGTCAGGTCAGAGCTACCCATGGACTGCCTGGTTGGCCAGCTAGCCCTGGCCAGGCACTGTCAAATGGCAGGGGCTTTCTTTTTCTTTCAGTGACAGAATTATCACTTCTACTGTGTCCATAATTCCAATTAAACTAGTAATGAAATATATTTATGAGTTTTCTTCACCATCAGATTTGGATAAAATCAGCCAGATTATTATAACTTTATCTGTAAATGAAGACATACAAGAGGAATTGAGTTAGGTGGAGCTGCAAAAGCCTTTCTCCATTGTAAATCAAGATGCAAACAAACTTTTTAAAGTTCTCTGAAAGTAAAATAAATCAGCAGGAAGTGTTTTTCCTGTCCTGGAACAACACTGGTTTTCCTGTTGTCATTGATCACTTGCCTTTCTGAAACAAATTGTAGAAAACACTGTTTGAATTCAAAATTATTTTATTTTCCCCTTTTATTTCTTAAACAGGCACACACAGAGAAACATCTGTTTGCCCAGTTCTGTGTGTTACAAGAAATATCTTCATGTTTACTGATGAGTATTAATGAGCACATCTATAGATGTCAAATCACAATCCATATTGTTTACCTTATCATTATATAGTATAACTGGACATAACAGAATACAAGGTTTGTTGCTACTGAATATTGACAGTTAAGCAAAAAACAATTCATAATTTCTTAATAAGTTAAATGTTTACTGATGTCTATTCTTGTTTGGGTTTTTCAGAGTGCTTTGTTCTTTTTGTGAATTTCAGAGACTGACATTGACCAAAAACAATATTTTGTGGTCAGAAGGAGAGGGATAATGCTAAAATAAACACATGCTTATCAATGTTTATTGACTAACACCTTATTCCTAAGGCTAATTATGTATAATATATTGTGCATGTATTTTATGTTTTATTATAACCTCATTCTAGTTTTCAGACTGAGAGTGCTGGCTTCTGTCATTTCTATGTGGCTAAAACAATAACAAAATTTATGAACCAAGTCTTTAAAAATAGGAGATCTCTTACCAGGTTTGTGCTGTCACATTTAAGTCAAATCTTTTCTCCTGGAAAACAAGAGCATGTACTGTAATTTTTTAATTTTAATAAGACAGAAATTTCTTTTTTCCCTTTCTGTCTTGGGGTCAGAGCTTGATTTATAACCCAACAAGTCTAGCAATCACAAAGTTAAATGTCTGAGCTCTCGGCATATATTTCCAAAAGCATTCACTTACCCTTAGTGTAATATCCCTACCTACAAATCCCAAATCCCTCCAGGCTGCAGAAACCATTAACAATCCTGGTATAGGAGGTTACTGAGACTCATGCAGAAGGTCCCATTTCATGTGTTACTCGTAAGCTTTCTGCAGCATTCCGAATTACCATTCTTTGTGTGTTTCTTGTTCTTTATGTTCTAATACACAGCATATGTTTGACATGCTGGCCACAGTCTCACAGTGAAGAGATTGCAAGTCTGCATTTGCTTCTGCCAAGGCTTCATCCTGTCTTAAAATCATTATTGCAATCTTCATATTAACTGACAAAAAAGTGCTTTGTTCCAAGAATGTGTTTTAATGGTCCTATTCAAGAATTATTATGTTCTTTAAAATCCATGCTCTGCCTAATATTTTCAGTATATTTTAATATATTGTCATTTGAAGTACATGGCTGTCTAAGGGCAGGTTTATTGACATTTTCCTAGCTTGTGCTCAAGGAGCAGCTTTCAGTTTGGACCCTAGGCAAAAGAGGAATCAGTGAGTTTCTGGGTAAGCTGAGAGATGTACTGAACGAAGCATCTTATTTTCTGACATCCTTGTCGGTCTCCATATACACTACTGGCACATAATGGAGAGTAGTAGCGTAGTAAAGAGTATCCTCTGTGGAGAAAACATCTGGAGAAACAAAGCTCCTGTTTGTTCAGATTCCAAGAAAAATCGGAATGCTCTTAGCAGCTACCTGGGACATTATGGGGAATGGTTTCTACTTGCATGACCTTTTACTCCCAACAGCTAGAAGTGATACTTACCTCTGCAATGGTCGTTTTCCTTCCCATGGGCAGTGAATTCAGCATCACAACTGGGGAGCCCGTCTCTGTACTGAACTTACAGGACCACTGGAAAAACAACATACTTTAGGACAAAACCAGTAATGAGTTTTACCCTCTCTTCCTGCTCCCACTTCCTTGAGAGACATTCATAATCACTCCATCACTGAGGCCACTCAAACTTACTGGGTGGTAGCGCCTCTTCTTTGGCAACATGACATCCAGTGTTGGCTCCGCGTACTTGATGTAGTGGAACTTGGTGGGACATGATGGGTTGACCACTCCGTTGGGGCCCAGCGTGATATCCTGTGTCCCCTCAAAGGAGCCCTTCACAGTGAGGGAAAGCTCTTTCTCTAAAGTAGCAAAACAGGTTGTGAGAAATGTTAATATGATTTAACCAGAAAATTGTGCTGGCTTGATTAAAAGAGGGGTGCAGGTAGCAGAGCCATAGAATTTGGACCAAGCCTTGCCCAGTGGGAAGCACTCTAAAGGGAATGCTGGCAGGAGAGGGAAAGGAGCAAAGCAGATGTTATTTTCATAGAAAGGTGACTCTGAATGTTCTCACTGTGATATGGAACCAGTATTTCGACTTTAATGCAGATCTAATAGGCCTAATTGACATATATCTAGATGCAGTCACTGGAGTCTATAACAACTTAATGTGTTTACCTGGCATTAACTTCACTGAATACTGTAAGTACTATTTATTCCACTAATACATTATATGAAAGGGGCATCTCCTTATCACTAAGCATGCAATTATTGATAAATAGATAATAAAACAATAACTTTACTTGATTTTTGCTTCATCTTCTCTGCCACTTCAACTTCCAAGCAGCAAAGTTCACGACACTGTGAAAGACAGAGTGCAGGAATCTGTGAGAAAGATCACATCTCACTCTCATTATGGAGAGCTATGAATCTCTGAGCTTTCGGCCATGTCTAGTCACCTGAAGTTCTTGATTTCCTGACATTTCTGGGCTTTTTTCCCATGAGCCACTAAGGAAAAGGAAAAGCTTTGGAGGGAGATGTATGCATCCTCCACTGACAATGACACAGTGAGAGGAATTTACAAAGGAAGAAAATCAGGAACATTTTCAGGATAGTAGCATAAATCCAATGGGTTAAACTGGGAAAAAAATGTAGAAGAAAGATGTGTTGCTGAGAGATCAAGAGTCAGTAGTAGAGGAAGGGCTTTCTGAAGAAGGATTGCTATTAATGTTTTGTGTTGGTTTCTTTTTTGTTTATGACACTCACTCTTCTTTAACATAATACAATTATGATCGGTTAATATTTAGTGCAGAATTTACCCACAGAGCTTGGCTCATCTGCAAGTGTAGGAAAGGGCAAGAGAGGTTGTCAATAAGTGGCTGCACAGCATTTTTACCATTGTTCTCTGATAGACATCAGTACCTATTTTGAAGTACCGGTACAAGAGGAAAACTCTGTGGTGTGTAGAAGTATACAATAAATAGGAAATAATGGGATACCACCAGCAAACAGGTAAATTAAATACTCCATTCTCAAAGTATCTAAATAGGAAGAGGGAAGAAAGAGGAAGAAGGGGTTTCTCTAACCCCCACCCTGCCTTCCCCTTTATGTTCAGGAATCACTTAAGGAAAATATCTTAGGAAAGACACATACCACCAGCACTCCGTTGGTAGCAATGGATTCATGGGGACCAGAACTGAGAAACAAAATGAAAAACATGTATTTTTTAGATCAAATGAATTCCACTCATCCTTACCTAGGATGTTGCCCTTTCTTCCCTCTTAGAAGAATGACAGAGAGACCCCAGTAGGTATGTACCAAGCAGGACCCCAGCAGGTGTGTAACAAGCTCCTTTCCATGCTTGCTTGGACTGACCACTGCTCTGAGGGGACTCATCTCTGTACCAAAGCTGAGCAATATGTATCATGGCTATCTTTTTGCAGTTCAATCTCATGATCACCAAACATGGAATCTGCAGTTAGGCAGTCAAATTCTTCTCATCATAACATGTAAAATAAATGTATTTCAGCTGTAACACACTAATACACCAGCATATTCCTGATGGGAATCCAGTTATATGTATTTGCTGGTATGTAAATTATAGAATCATAGAATATACTGAGTTGGAAGGGACCCACAAGGATCACTGAGTCCAACTCCTGGCACTGCACTGCCCCAAGAATCCCACCATGTGCCTGAGTGCACTGTCCAAACACTTCTTGCACTTTGGCGGGCTTGGTGATGTGACCACTTCCTTGGGGAACTTGTTTCAAAGGGGCACAGGACAGCAGGTACCAATTACATGGGGGGAATGATCACCAGATCATTCAGGTGAAGTCAGGAGATGGTGTGGAGTGACTTGACTTCTGGCCTTGGCTCCCCGCTAGTATGAGGGAGCCATGCCTTATTTATCTTGTTGTAACACAGAGACAAAAATACTCATTCAAATGGATGGCAGGCTGACTATGCTGGAGGAAGGGCCTTACACTAGAGTTTCCAACACATTGTCATTATGTTGGACAGAAAGAAAACAGAATTACTAGGTCCCAAACAGTGCTGCAAGGGAAAATTGAAGGAATCAGAGATACACTGGAAACCTAACCGGAATGGTTCAACACTAAGAGTCTGTACTATACATAACCTGAAACAGGCAAAGAAAAATTGATAGACATTAATACTCACACACTCAGAAAGCCTTCTGATGTGTCCACAGGTAGACAAATCAAAAAATCATAGAATGGTTTGGGTTGGAAGAGACCTTAAATATCACATAGTACCAACCGCCCTGCCATGGGCAGGGACACCCACTAGACCAGGTTGCTCAAAGTTCCATCCAGCCTGGCCTTGAACACTTCTAGGGACAGGACATCCACAACCTCTCTGGGTAACTGATAGGTGTGTCTTTGAAAGCAGCTAAGCTACAGAACAAGCTAATCAGTCAGTTGTTGGGGACTGCAGTAATGATGTAGGAGAAGGCTGGCACATTTTTACAGAAATACCACAAAGCATGACTTCTAACACTGTTTCTTTATCATATAATGATTTTTGCATTTTTAAAATAATATCTATATCACTTACGCGGACTCCAATTTGAATTCAACCTCTAGCTCCTCCTTGGCCTGAAAGCAAGAACAAGATATTAAATGAAATAGCTACATAATGCTTTGTCCTTTGTCTAAACCCAGGTCCCTGATGGGCAATATTGAAGTGATTGGTTGCAGTGCATAGCCTGTGATATATATTTCAGACTGAGTGGTCTGAATCAACATTTCAGCCAGATAGTTTAAGGATTCCTTCCTCACCTCCTTCCTTCCTTGAGGCATCATCAAAACAACCTGTACTTCTATTTCTTAGTATGAAGCTGCTGCAGAAAGACAATTTGTAGCTTCCTTTATATTCTGAATTCTATCTCTTTCTGCCAACTATTCCTGGCACTGTCCTGCCATGACTTACTGTACTTGCTATTATCTTGGAAATTTAAGATATTTTACACCCATCACTTTAACCTAATAAACAGAGACTGGTAATAGTGAGTGATTCAGAGTTAGTGTTGTGTAACCTCCCGTAAGGCAGTGTTGAACTGCATGAGCTGGTTGTGAATGACCTAGATTGGTTACTGGAAGCAATTTGTACGTGGTAGCAAGAAGTTACATGTGAGATATTTTGCTGATCTCATCCTTAGATCTCAAAGGGAATCAAGACTCTTTTCCCCATTTTATAGATGGTAAACTGAGAAACAGAGTGAATCAGCCTTTCAGTGTGGGATGCACAGCATGGCAACTTCATCTTTGCTTTTTGGGGTGAAAGTAGATACAAGAAAAGGGGCAGTGGTACTGATTATGAATTACATGGGGAAAAAAATTACAGATTATTCAGCCTTCAACAGTTGCATAGCCTTGGTCTTGCTCAGAGGTAGCTCACAGTAACAGCTCCCCTACCTACCACACTGTTTCAGTCTTATGGTCTTTAATAATTTATAAAAATATTTGGAAGAGTGTCTCAGGCTCTCATTTTTTACATTTTTTGTGCTTATATTTTGAATGGCAATTCAAGTACTCATTATTGGGATAAGTCATCTATGGCAGGTTCAGAAATATTTTTAAAGTGTTGTAAAACTCTCCACTGGTTTCTTGATTGCTTTAGTTGTTTAATTGTTCTCACATTTGGGCTAGGCTTAAAGTACAGGACCACCGTTCTTTCAATCGGAAGTTTAGCTGTATCAAAGAGTGCACAGAGGAGATGGTCATCTGGAGTAGCAAAATCCTCATCATACACTGTCAGCTCCAGCACATTCTGGAAAAAGAGAGAGAAGGTTTTTTTATAGTTTCTGCAGTCTGGACATTATTGGCTCTAGGTAAGAAATATTGTTGAGGATGTTCTTGAGAAGAAAGTTAAGAAATTAAGTATCATCCTCCTTTGCAAAAATGTACTGTAAGTAGAATATTCATTCTTGCCTGGTTCATTTTAATTACTGTACCATACTATATTGGCTATAGCTCTAAAACAACTTAGTTAACTCCTGGATTCTGAATCTATCTTGCTCTGACTCATACAAGTCCCTGGTTTCTCTAAAACTTCAGTACTGAGCTCAGTTTCTGGCCCTCCTGAGCAGAAGCATTGATCAGACATAAGAATTTGGTTATCTCTGCTGTTATACAGTTTTGAAAAGTCCTTTATCATGAGTCATCCCTTAAACAATTCCTAGGAACAGTTTAGAAGATAGATACACAAAGTCTTCAGGCTGCATCAGGCAGATGACTTTAGATCCTTACCTTGACCTGACTCTGGATTCGGAAGTAGAATGTTTCATTCCACACTGGATTGTTGGAGTTTCTCACAGTTTTAGTGCGTGACTTTTCACATGTCGCAGTTGGCAGCCACAATGAGACGTAGCAATCAGCCTGGCTTACTGGGTAGGGAAGAGACAAAATAGTTGGGAATGTGGCAAAGTCAGCAGTGCTGCGTGACAATGGAAAGGTTACTCTATGGTACCAACAACAAGAAAAAGTTATTTAAAGACAGAAATGCCTGTTACAATGTCACTCTTTTCAAGATTTCCTTCTGTAATGAAAAAAGCACAGACCATAAGATGACCTAGAACAGAAGGTGCTTTTTATTCTTCCTTGCGTGAGTTGCAGACAAGTGATATTGTATATAAAAGAAAAGGGTGAGAATTTCCTCTTCTAGTCAGCCATTTCAGTTTCTCAGCCAACAAGATTTCCTGTGCTCACATGTGCATGCACACACACTCCACTGCTGTCTGATAATAGGGGCCTGGGACCCTCCTCCACCTTTTGAGAGCAACTGCAAAAAGTCTCCATCTCTGCCTTGCCTCCAGTCATTTTCTTGGTGAGGGTTTGTGAAAGCAGCTGCAGAACCACCGCTGCTGTATGAGATGGCAGAGGCTTCCTCCAGAAGGAGCTCATTGAATTAGGCATTGTATGTTAAATAATTGCCACCTGCAGGAAGAGAGGGACTCTCCCAAAATGCACTGATAGAGGGTTAGTAAAGGATTTTACATCCCATTTCTCAAAGGCACCTAAATTAAGGTATATCTCAAATAGGTCTAGCCAAAAATGCCATGTACTCTGTGCTGGGGGAATGCAATGTTTCTTCATATAGGCTATGCAAAGTACTTCAGTGCCTTGAAAACCTCTCTTACACCGTTCTTAACAGTAATTAAGATGAAAATAAAAAATATGATGATGATTAAGATGATGAAAAAAAATTATCAGATTCAAGTTGTGGAGAAATCAATATATTCCTACAGAGTCAAAAAAATATTCCTCTGATGGAAAAGTTTGTTTCCAAAATATTCAGTAAATGCTAGCCTTCTCCCTCTCCTGCCCTTTTCCACATTCCATATCTTATTTTGGATTAAAAAAAAAAAGGTTCTGACAGCAGTTTCACTTTACTTGTCTAGAGTCATATTATCTGCTTTAGTTCTACCTTCCCACCACTTTTATCTCTTGGTCTCCTTCCCTCTACTTTCTTCCTGATTGTATTAATTAAGTAGACATTTCACCTCCAGTATTCAGGTTTCCTCCTCTCCTCTTCCCCTCCCCTCATCTCCCCTCTCTTCCCCTTTCTTCTCTTCCCCTCCCTTCTCCTCCCCTCCCCTCCCCTCCCCTCCAAACTAAGTCCCAAAAGGAAGGAAAAGGCTGCCTTCCCGCTGTGTTCAAGCCCACAGGTAGAAACAACAGAAATTGCCCCAATAGCATTTGTTATCCCTCACACAGATTGTATGGTGTGCTTTGCAGACTGATTACCTGAGAATCGTGATTCCCAGGCGTGTCTTTTCACTTCAGACACCCATGCCCACTTTGCACATAGGTCTGGTAGACACAACCAGGTTTTACCACTGCTGTGGTACAGATAAACAACAAGCAGCATCAAAAGACCCACATTTTAAGAAGAAGGAGGTGAAAGTCCTTGAATGCATTCAGAGGAGGGCAACAAAGCTGGTGAATGGGCTGGAATGAATGTCCTGTGAGGAGCAGCTGAGGACTTGGGGATTGTCTAGTTTGGTGAAAAGGAGGCTGAGGGATGACTTCATTGCTTTCTATAGCTTTCTGTGGAGGGGACACAGAGAGGGAGGTGCTGAGCTCTTCTCCCTGGGGTCCAGGGGCAGGGTGTATGGGAATGGTCAAAAGCGGCACCAGGGGAGGTTTAGACTGGACATTAGGAAGCATTTCTTTACTGAGAGAGTGGTCAAACACCGCAGCAGGCTTCCTAGAGGGGTGGTCAGTGTCCCAAGCCTGTCAGTGCTGAAGATGTATTTTGACAATGCCTCTAGTAATATGCTTTAATTTGGTCAGCCCTGAATTGGTCAGGCAGTTTGATTAGGTGTAGATTCCTTTCAACTGAAATAGTCTCTTCTATTCACAACAGCAAAGAAACAGTGCAATGCACAGGTGATGCATGTTGCTACAGGTTACCAGCAGGAGACTGCTAACATTGAAAACATGGTCTGCTTATACCAAACATCTCCCCAGTAAGGGTAGGTCTAGGCAGCCTGACAAGTCTGGCTGCCTTACATATTTTGCCTTGTTTAGGCACACCAGAAAGAGGAACACAGTCTCACTTGCACCTTCTCCCTGCAAAGGAAGTTACTTGCCTTTATGTCATTTATAGGCAGAGTTGATTTAAGAACAACATTTAAGGCTGGCCTCCTGTCTTAAGAAAGCACTTGTAACTGCCTGCTACTTGTGAAATTCCAAAATTAAGTCTACACATTTTCAGGGAGCATGTCTCTCTCAAACTGGGAAGTCTCATTTGGAAGTGTTTAGCTTTTATCCAGAGATGAGACAGAAGAAAAAGAATGAGACCTTTTCACATTTAAAAAGAAATTCTTAATCACTTCACTGCCAGGTAATAGCCCTTGTACACCTTGCTCCAGAGAAGAAAAAAAGGTAATTCTAGAGCAGTACTGCACCTGATCCACCCTCCATCTTTCAGGGAGATCCTCACTTTGGCATTTCCAAACAAGAGTTTGCATTTTGAATACCATGTTTAATAACCCTTGCTAGACTTATGTTCCATGAATAATTTCTTGTTGAACATACATATTTTAACATCCACACATTCCTGTGGAGGTAGGTTCCATAGTTTCCTTGTATATTATTTATTTTAAACTTGCTGTTTGATACTTTCATGAGCGCTCACATTTATTCTCATATTGTGAAAAACAGGGAAAAATTGCTCCTTATTCACCTTCTTTCCCTATTTCTTTTTGAAGAAACAGCTCCCATGACCTCCTCAATAATTTTGCTTCTAGTCTTTAGGACTGTAGCCTACTTAGTCCCTCTGGATGTAAAAGTTGTTTCAGATCTGTCATTGTATTTGGTCCCTTTCTAGAGCTCCTTTTGTTACTCCATTTCCTCAAGTGTTTTTATTTATTTTTTTCAGTCTGTGAAATTCCATGCAGATAATAATGCTTTGAAGAAATTTGAAACTGCAAAAATAGGTATTGGAATGTATTTGGAGAACCTAGAAGTAATGCTACTAATTTTAAAATGCATTAAAAGTAATTTTGTATAACTACTATGACTTTAGATTTATCCTTGGAGATCAATGACTGTTGCCTGCTTGGCTGGCAAAGCACTCTGTTCTACTGGCGTGATTCATCATTGCTGCATCTTAATTGTACTTGGAGATACAGAGCATATCAAGCAATCCTTAATTATATGAGTAGATGCAGCCAAACTAGTCAGCTGTGTTTTTAATGCAATATTGCCTCAGTTCTGCTTGCTCAATCTCTTTCTACAACCTCATTATTTGTCTTGTTGCCTGACACGCAGAAGATAAGACTTTGAAGAGACCTTTCTGTGTTGTCACTTCATCACACATGTCCCACCGCCATGGACAAGGAGGGAGGTGCAGAGACTGTGACCCAATGATATTACCTCAGATACAGTTGATATCTCTCTTACTCTAAGCTGTGACATGGGGAAGTCCTCTGATGCATCTTTCAGAAAAACATGTGATAATCACAGGGTAAGATGGGAATGGTACTGCATAGTAAATCCGGACCTTTATCTTTCAGAAAATCTTCCTTGATTTTTCCTGTGCAAGAGACTATGGAACCAATTATTGCTGCTTACAGTGAAACAGGAGAAACAAAAGGATCAAGAGATAATTTCAGCATCCTTTCATCTAGGTGGTCACATAGCTGTATTCACTCAAACAAAACAAACAGTTAATTTGACTATTTTGTGTAAAACCCCTCTCTGCGCAACAGGATAGTCCATGTTCTTCAGTGGTGTTTTCCTTTCCTGCTTACTCGCTTCCCACCACTTTCCTGCCATGTGACTCACAGTCTCGCTCAACTGCGAGGCTGCTGTATTAGTGTTAGAAGGAACAAAGCATCCAGCTCTCAGTCAGCACAGTTTGTTTGACTGTCATTTCAGGGTAATTAATAATGGCTTAGCCTGGTGGTAATGATTGTAGAAAGCTTCTTTCTGTTCATTTCATCTTTGTCAGAACCAAGATTGAGGGGGATGAAAAGATTTTCTCCTTCCAGACACATTTCCTAAGGTTCTACAAAGCATTACCAGAATCACCTCTTGTTTTTGAAAACACACAATGTGGTCTTTTTCATCTACCTGTAGCAGAAACTCTCCTTTCTTTGAGAGAAAGTACTTATCCTCAGAAACACATTCAAATCTTGAAACCAGTCAGAAAGCACAGACGTAACACTCAAAAAGACAGAAGCAAGCAGCACAGACTGACTGGTTTGTAACAATTTGTTTACATAAACAGTAGTTTATTTCAGAAACAAAAAGAAAAGGTTGCTATACAATTATAAAAAATATTATGTTGCCTGTATCCCAAGACACCACTAAGAATGGAGATACTTACAGGCATCCACTCGCTGGAGATTTCTCATCCGGATGATCCTTACGGTCAACAGGTAGCAGGGAGAGGATTCTATCTGTAGAAGAACAGTAAAAAATGGAGTCTGAATAAGCCTTTGGTAGGAAAAAAGTTTCAAAAGTGCAAACTAACTGGATGCTACGATAATACAATTGGTAAAATTTGGGTTTAGCATCTCACTATTCTGCAGGAGAAAATCTGCAACATAAGCTTCTGCTGTTAAAGAAATCAACATTTTTTATATTTCACTGTCTTTTTGCTTTGTTTTTTTGAGTGTGTATTGCTCATCAGAGCAGAAAAGAAAGGGATAAATCCCTGAAAACTCATACAGCCTGTGAAATGCTTGCAAAACCTCTTGCTCTGAAACTGCTGAGTTTAGCTCCACAACATAGCTACACTGAACAGAGTGAATGCACTGGTGAGAACCATGGTGGAGTTGTCAAAATAGTTGGCAGTCTTACTCGAAGTTACAGTCAATCCTCTTAGTAACCACCCATGAGGTGCCATCGCATTGAAAAAAGTCCTGTGGAAAATATCTGTTGTCCTGGACTCCCATGGGATAAACCTGAAGTACCAGTCTTTAACTGGTGCTTTTGCCTTCTGCTTCAAAAACATAGATTTCTTCGTTTTTCCATTTACAGTTGTAGGAGAAAATGAGTAACAATAATCTGAGCTTTTGTAAATCATAACTGTGAGATAAACCAATGGCTGAAAATTGTTTCCAGAGGATTTAGAGGGCAAAGAGTTAGGTACGGGTTGCCTTTCGGTAAAAATAAAGAACACTACCTTCCTCCAAAAAACCTTGAAGATTGAAAGTGCTTAAGTTCCTTTGTTCCCTTTGAATGTCTCAACCTTAATCTTCTATAAAACAAGTCTCTCCAAATTTTGCGATTTCAGAGATCTCTTCCTGTTTATTATTGGAAGATAAATGTGATTTCCTTCTTCTAAGGAAGGCCATTTCCTGCTGGCTCATTACATAAACCTGTCTCTAGCTCAGACTTATCTGCAAAAGGCTTTTCTGACCAAGGCAATAAATAAATCAGCATTTCCCGTGGCTGTGACACACGGTCATTTCCTCACACTCCTAGAAACATTTCCACCTGCATAAGTGATTACAACAGTCCTCCAAATCATTCTTTTTGACAACTGCTATTTTTAACAACTGATTTCCTCTCCTTTAGGAGCATCCTTCTATTTCTACAGTGCTTCAGAGACTTCCTATAATGACTATAAACAAGCAGACAAAATAGATGTTAAGGCAGATAAAGATGGAAGAACCTCACTTAAAATAATGTAAGTAATGTGGCCATTTTTTTTCAAGAGAACAGAGCAAAAGGGCCTTATTTTCAGATGAAAAGACAATTATGTCTCCTTCATGACAGAAAATTACTTTTTCAGTGTGTAATTAAAATCCTCTCTTCTCTCTAACACGTCATGTTATGCTAAAATTTCTTTGCTGAGCTCTTGAAAAGCTTTCCTGCTTCCACCCATCTTATATGTGCCTCAAGAATTCTTTGGGTTTTTTTTTTCTTTTTCAGTGCTTCTTTATGATTCAAACTAAGAAATCCATCCACTTTTTATTTCAAGTGTTCTCAAAGGAGGAAAAGCCTAACAGAAGCTGCAAAATTTGCAAACTACTGATGAAAGGGTATGTCCTCAGAGCTACCCCATACAAGGACACTGGTTCACATTTCAGATACAGTATAGCCAAAATAATACAGTTCTACACCCGGTTATTAACCCTTCTTCTCAGCTGGGTAATTAGCAAAGGTGGATCACCACACTCACATGTTAGGAATGAGCTTGGGCACCTCAGCATATGTCCTAGAAGAGAGAAACTCATTGTTCCTTAGGGTCTGAATAAGCAGAGGGGAAATTCTTGCAGGCATTTATCTCTAGGGATTGCGCAAGGTGCTGCCAGCTCCTGGATCAGCTCCAGATATGCTTCCTCTGACAAGTGGCATTGCTTGAGTGAGAATCAATTAATTCAATATTTGCAAAGCAGTTTGAGATTCTTAGATAGGAGAAAAGGTGGGGTTTTTTAATGAGTTTTACGTGGTTTCTGCCATCTGATCACCTTCCTCCTGGTTCCCATGTAATGACTTTCTAATATGTTAGCCAGAGTTCCCCATCTGCCACAGGGAAATAAATTCTCAGAGATGCAGGTTTCACAAAAAGACTTATTGAAATTTCACCAAAAAAAAAAAAAAAACAAACCAATGGCTTAACCAAA